ACTTCATTGAATGTTATTGTTTTATTCGAGGATTTATTAATGTAAGTTAACAAGAAGATGTAACTACATCAATAGTTATATTCGCTTAAGTACCCGCATCGAGGTACTTAAGCGGGTTCTTTTAAGTACCCAACCCGCCTAAGTACCTCAAAAAGGTGAAATTTTTCGTGAGGTACTTAAGCGGATTTTACTGTATTACTTATGTAAATACAAAAAAAAGAGCAATTACAAACTCATGACGTTTTCTTTTCTATTAAAAAAGTTTGTCTTCTTATATTGTAACATTTGCACTAGATTAGCTTTTGTCCTTCAAAATGGCTATATTATTAGAAAGTATTGCACTATTGCTTAGTCGGAGGGCAATATTTTATGAAATGAACACGTAAAGCTGTGAAATGGCTGAGGCAACATTATTTCGAGAAAATAACGCCCTTAATTTACATATATCTAAAAAGCAGATCGCTTTTTATGTTTTTAACAATTAAACTGTTTAATTTTATTTTTATGTCCATTTATTCGAAACGTTCCCGTTTTTCAATGACCTCTCTGCACATGCCTGATAAAATTATTAACAGATATCGTCTTCACAGAGAGTTTTGCTTTATTTCGTTATTTTCGAAGTGTTGCGAATAAAACTTCACACTTAAATTTAAGACATTCGTTACACAAATTGTGTGAAGAAAATCCCTGCTACGTCCTTCCTTGGAAAAAGTACAGTGACCCAAATATAAAGTGGGTCGCGACATTTTATCAAGTTTTGGCTCATTTTCCTTAGTTTATTTAATCTTTATTATTTTGTTATGAAAAAATAGCTGATTACTTAACAAACACCATATAAATCCAAACTTCAATCTTTGTGCGAAAATTATGAAAATCCTTCAAAATTTCACCAAAAGGTTTAACTTTTTAATTATAATCTTTAGAAAAATTATGGTATGCAGTTTTATAGGCTAATAAATTTTAATATAATATGGTGCAAATTTGAAGTAGCTAGGACCTACCGTTGATTTTTGGATTTTTTTTTGTATGACGGTGTTACGCATTTTTTTCATACAAAATACGTTCTACCATTTTTTATATGGGGAAAAAATACGGAACACCGTCAACAAAAAAATTGCCAAAGTGCTAGTTAATTTAAATTTGCACTTTGTTATACTAAAATTTAAAGTTTTAAAAGATGCAGATTAAGGGCCGGTTACTCAATGCCTGGTTAACACTAATCTGCGGTTAAACATCGTTATCGACGTCTTCGACTCCATGCATACAACAGGGAGTCGGTAACGTCGATAACTATGTTTAACCGGAGATTAGTGTTAACCAGACATTGAGTAACCGGCCCTAAGATTAAGAAAAAAAATGGTGAAAATTTGCAGAATTTTCATAATTTTTTTACAAAGTATGAAATTAGGATTTAAATGGTGATTTTTAAGTAAGCGGCTACACTTTCATTAAAAAATAATAACCATTAAATAAACTAAATAAAAATATCCAAAACTTGATAAAAATGTCGTGTCCCAGTTTATATGTACATGGGTCACAGTATATTCGCTAAAAATAAAAATCATTGAAATATGCCCAGTATTTTAGGATTTTTCGGATTAGAAAAAATTTTATATATCATAGTCCAACATGAAAATTTTCTCCGAGATAAGGCTAGTCGTCGGTAATAGATTTTGGGTTGCTAAATTTTTAAAAAGTGAAACTTATGTATTGTAATTTTAAGAAAATAAGGCCTTTAGCAAAATCGACTAAAACCGGCTAACAAATCGGCTGCCGGTTAAACCAAATTTTCTCCGGCTGTTTGCTATCGCAACCGGCTAAATCTAGCCGGAAAAGCTCAACTGGCAACACTGGTACTCTTTATGAGTTTGTACAACGATTTTGGGTTGCTGTGCCCAAACTTTGTGACTTTTCATAAAGCGGCGTCCATCCTCTTTTATTTAGGGGCGTTTGGGGCCACGCCCCCTCCCACCCTTCCGCCCCACCCCAAAATCGATGTACAAATAGCTAAAGATTCCCCAAATTAAGCTCTTCGAACGTTTATCTATTTTATATTTTATTAATTTCATTATTTAACGATCAGGAACACGTTTAAAAATTTGTTTACTTTCCTTTAGAGAACCGAATTAGTATGTTAGGCACGGTGCACATTAGTGCGATACGATATGCGATGCGATATGCGATACGATATGGATGCGACATCGACATGCTGAGTACGTGGTAATTGGTAGGAAGCGATGAAAACTGTGTACACTTGCACGACAGCGACACCGATGCGATATAATATCGCGACATAATATTGCATGCGTATCGCACGTGCGACACGGTTTTCTGAACGAGGTGAGATTAACATTGCGCGGTATTTTTTGCAATAAGCATGCCCATTTCGCAGGCGGAAGCATCTTCCTCAATTTTTTTAGTCGAATTTATAATAAAACCCATGTTTATGAAACTATGCAGGCAAAAAAACGACTGTACAACAGACATGACTAGTTTGGCATGGAGAAATATAGCGTCTGAGGTCAAGGATGGTTTATTTGCCTTTGTTTTAACTTTAAAAAGAAATTTAAAGAATTCAATAATTTTAAACCTATTAATTTATAATTTTGAATAATTAACTATTTTGTTTCAAATGCTCAAATAATTAGTAATCAGTGTAATTAGAAACAATTAAGAAATAATCAGCTCATTTACAATAAAATAAGAAATCAGATATAATAACAGATACTAAAAAATTACGTATATATGTAGGTAATTATTTTTGATTATTCGTTATATTTTTATATGTTTTTTTTTCTTGAGTGTTATTTTATTATATTTAAGGAGTTTTTAAATTAAAGAGAGAAAGTACAAATTTGTGTGCTCTATTACACAATGCTACAAAAAATAATGAAGAAAATACCTGGTAAGTCATGTAATTTTTCAGGTAGGTTTTGCCGAGTGAAGTAAGAATCGAGATACGAAATTTTTGTCAAACACCCACACAATCTTGATTTACTGTTAAAAAACCGGTTCTCCGCACTTGTAAGCTTAGGGCCGGTTTCTCTATCTCCGGTTAACACTAATCCCCCGTTAAACATCGTTACCGACCTTATCGACTCCCTGTTATATGCATGGAGTTAGAACGTCGATAACAATGTTTACCCGGGGAGTTAGTGTTAACCAGAGATGGAGAAACCGGCCCTTAACTTGTAAGCTTAAGCTTAAGTTACAATTGTAACTCAGTTGACTATAAACCGAGTTTAGACCTTTCGAATGATATATGTATATAAACTTTTAGAAAACTTAAGAGAAGATTTTTTCGTCTTTTTTCAAATTTGGCAAAGTTTTCACGCACTATTTTGTAAAGCAACTATACTACCCCTGAATTAATGCAATATTAACATTTGATACATAGTAATTTTTACTTTCAAAAATCGGGGGAAATCTGACTAAGTTATTCAACCTTTCATGAGAAAAATTATATTTTTGACTATATAACTCAAACATTTTTGCTTTACCTTTTTTTAATTCTGCTTTCACCGATTTCTCCTTGTAGTGAACGCAATATTCTGAAATAATTTGTCATGAAAATTTGAATATCTCATTTCATTTTTAGCCGACTTTGTAAAAATAAACATCTGTTTTACTCGATATTAAACATACTTTTCTCTTAAATTTTTTAAAAGTTTATAGATGTAAACATAGACCCATCATTCGAATCCAAATTCCAAATAACTAAATGTCTTATACAAATTCACAAAGTAGAATTCTCTTTCTGTGGTGCGAAGAAATGAAGCAGAAGGATTGTAACCCTCACAAAGTGGAATCCTCTTTCTGTGTTGTGAAGAAAAGGAGCAGAAGTATTTTTGAGCAGAACTTCTCAACAATAAAAGGACCGGTGACTCGAAGTCTGGTTGACACTAATCATCGGTTAACATCGTTATCGACATTTTCGACTCCATGCATATAACACGGTGTCAGTAACGTCGATAACGATGTTTCACCGGTGATAAGTGTCAACCAGGCGCCCTTAATATGCACTTATATTGCCAATATTGGCTATTTAAATATGAGATATGCAACCCTGTATTTGTACCAAACAACCAAGATTGATTGGTAGGTTGTTTAATTAATCCCACCAATTCCCACCAAAAAACAATCAGCTGTTCAGCACAAAATGTAGACAAACAAGCAAATGGAACAACAATTTTAAGGAATAAGCAGCAGTGCTGAAATTTATTTGGCATATTTAAGCAAAGTTGATCTGAAACCCAACGAAAGCAAAATGGTGTAAGCATAAGCATGTATGCATATTGACTAACAAGTACGATGTGTAACTAGCCCTTAAGATATTTTGTAATTGTGTTTACACCTTAAGTTATGTGTCTAGACCTTAAGATTTGTCTGTTTTGTTAAGAGCGTGGGTAACTTGCTGTCCCCACAGGCAAAAGTTTTTATCTTGATAATGTTATCAGGCAAAATTTTGCCCATGGAGACCGAATATTGCTCTTGGCAAGCAATAATTATCAGAGCTTTTATCTTGATAAATATTGCCAGAAATTTGGTACTTTGACAGCTACATTTTCATTTGCGCGATAGCTTCGTGGAGACAACATTATCGATATTTCAATATAAAAGCAAAAATTGAACTGTTTTCTATTAAAATATGTGTTATTATTTGCTTGGGTGTGAAATAGCATATTTTTTTAACTTTTTAATTGATGAAATCCGGCAAAAATTGCCATCTTATAAATGCTTTTATCAAGATAAAAAATGCCCACGCACAAATATTGCCGCTGATAAAATTTTTATCAGGCAATAAAAATGACAGTTGGTAGGCAAAAACTTTTGCCTGTGGAGACGAGCCGTAACCACCATTTTGACATCGAATAAAGAAATCAGAATTAGATTGACTACCGACCACACTAGACGTGTGAAATTTATTGAAGGACCCAAAGTAAGCGTTTTCATCAGAAGTGGTCGTCGAAGCCACTCCAACCTACATAGATTTCTTGAATAAAAAATTTTTCGCGCTGTTTAAAATGGGAGACGACGTCGTGAGTGCTGAGAAATATACACTCCTCCAATTAAAGGCGTGGTGCGCAGCTGTTGGCGTGAACGCAAGTCAGCTAACAGCAGAAGCACGCGGATTGTACCCAGGTAGCGGACCAGTTGACTTAACGGACGAATCCAATGACAACGTTGCCGAAAGAAGCGATGGAGAGTCTGACGATGAAGTGGTAAATGCAGCGGTAAATGCGGCGGAAAACTTAGCGGACAATGCAGCGAAAAATGTGACGGAAAATGTTGCGGTAAATTCAACGGACAATGCAGCGAAAAATGTAGCGGAAAATGTTGCGGTAAATTCAACGGTCAATGTAGCGGATAATGTAGCAGTAATTGCAGCAAACAATGTAGCGGTCAATGGAGCGGAAAAGGTAGCGGACAATGTAGCGGTCAACATAGCGAACGGTTCAGACAGCAATGCAAATTACAGCGTAGATGGTCAGTTTGGCATACAAATGCACACAAGCCGTGAAGTAGATGACCGGCGTCGACAAATTAACAGCGGGGCCAATGCCGAGTCAGAAAATCTCAAAGTGAAGTTGCTGGAGAAAGAAATCGAAATGTTGAGGCTGAAGCTGGCAATAGAAGAGCAAAAAATACGCACACTGTAGCTAAAGAATTTCCCTTCGATACAATAAAGCAACTGGTGTCAGATTATGATGGTGGCGAAAATTTTGAGATGTGGCGTGCCCAAGTGGTGCACCTGCTAGAGGACCTGAAAGTAAACAAAGAAACGCTAGCTTAAGTAGTACAGCTGAAGTTGAAAGGTGCGGCCGCAACGTGATATAACACCAACAAGATGTTTTTAAGGAGTCTGGATGCCGTGCTTAAAGAGATGTCTGCAATATTTGCACGTAGTGACAATCTTCTGGTTACGCGATGCCGTTTCGAAAAACGCAGCTGGAGTTATGAAGAGTCGTTTGCTAACTATTTCAATGAAAAGTGTTTGCTAAGCAGCGGTTTGAACCTGGTCGACACGGAGCTAGTCGAATATATAATCGACGGTATCCCATATAAGCAGTTACAGGTCCAGGCGAAACTGCAAAATTTTCCAACAGCCAGCAGCTTGGTGAAGGCGTTTCGTACAATCGAGTTGCCGCAACGTTCATCTCCAAGGCCCAGCAAGGACAGATTCAGGTGTTACAACTGCAACAGTTACGGCCATTTGTCGAGAGAGTGCAGAAAAGCAAAGCGCGAATTAGGTACCTGTTTTGCTAGCGGAGAAAAGGGCCACTACGCTTCAAGATGCGGTAAATACAAGAAGAGTCCACCGGCGAATAATTTCGTAAGTTATTTTAATATTAGTATATTAGCTGAACCTAACATTAATATGGTTGTAGAATGCCTAGTCGATTCCGGGAGCCCCATAAGCTTGGTCAGGGAATGCTTAGTGCCGGGAAGAGTTAAATTGCAGGAAGAGAAATGTACTTACTATGGATTAAATATGTCTGAATTAAAAATTGTTGGTAAAACCAAGTGTAACATTGAAGTTCTTAATAAACACGTTTTGATTGAACTTATGGTGGTCCCTAATGAATCGGTTGGCTGTTCAGTTGTGTTAGGTAGAAATTTTATTACGGCTAGTAATGCTAAACAAAAAATTGGTTCGGTAGAATTTATGAATCAAAGTGAAAATACTGGTGTGGAAAATTATTGCGAAGGTCATGTTGAAAATGTAAAGGAAAATGATAACAACGTACACAAAGAAATAGATGCGGCTATAAGAGAGATTCTGACAATTGAGGTGCAGGACGCAAACAAAGTTGAGTATGTGATAGGATACGAAGTTAGTGCTAGTAATAAAAAACGTTTCGAAGATATGTTTTACAAAGAGTATGTACAGGCAGTTAGTTAGCTAGTTTTAGAAAACAATAAACAATTTTACTGCGCGCCTAGAAGATTGTCATATAGTGAAAAAGCTGAGCTACAAAAGATACTAGACGAGTACTTAGAAAAAGGCTGTATCCGTGCCAGCGACTCCGAGTTCGTTTCCCCAATAGTAATAGTGAAAAAGAAAACGGGCGAGCTCCGAATGTGTGTTGATTATAGGAAACTAAATAAAGTTACTGCGAAAGACAACTATCCTATACCGTTGATAGATGATTTGTTAGAAAGATTAGCAAATATGAAATTGTTTACAAAGCTAGATCTTAAAAACGGATTTTTTCATGTGTACGTGGAGGAACAGTCTGTAAAATATACTGCGTTCCCGATACCTTAGGACAGTTTGAGTTTCATAGAATGCCATTCGGTTTGAGAAATGCCCCAGCGATTTTCAAAAGTTCATAAATAAAATTTTCGCGGACATGATACGTAGTGGCGAAATTATTATATACCTAGATGATATTATGGTTGCAACGAAAACCTTGGACGAGCACATTCGTGTTCTAGAGAAAGTTTTTCAACGTTTAGGGCAGAACAAGTTAGAGTTACGGCTGGATAAGTGTGAGTTCCTTCAATCAGAAATTTCATATCTGGGTTATTTGATTACTGGTGAAGGCATCAGAGCTGACAAGAAAGGAGTTCAAGCTGTAGAAAATTTTGCAGTGCCAACAAAGGTGCAGGAAGTACATAGTTTTTTAGGGCTCTGTTCGTACTTCCGCAGATTTATAAAATATTTCTCGATAATAGCAAAACCGCTCTATGACCTATTAAAAAAAGAAGAAAAATTTACGTTCGGTCATAAAGAAATGGAAACCTTCGATATACTTAAAAGAAAGTTGGTGGAATCTCCCTTGTTAGCTATATATGATCCCAGGGATGCCACCGAACTTCACTGCGACGCAAGTGCGCTGGGTTTTGGGGCAATATTATTTCAGAGGAAAAAGGATAAAAAGCTGCACCCTATTTTTTATTTCTCAAAACGCACGACTAACGTAGAATCCAAGTATCACAGCTTTGAATTAGAGACGTTGGCAATAATCTACGCGTTGAAAAGATTTAGAGTTTACCTACAGGGTATCAAGTTCAAAGTTATTACCGATTGTAATTCATTGACATTAACGCTTAACAAAAAAGACATTAACCCACGCATTGCAAGGTGGGCAATGGAACTTCAAAACTACGACTACGAACTAGAACATAGGACGGGTAAAAAGATGCAGCATGTCGACGCGCTTAGTAGAGTAAACAATATACTGACTATCCATTCAAATACGTTTGAGGAGAACTTAATCATATGCCAAAACAGAGATGAAAATATAAAGAATGTTAGGAAACAATTAGAAACGGCTGAGAGTAAGCACTTTGAAATGAGAAACGGTATAGTTTACAGAAAGAATAACGATAACTTAAATTTCTATGTACCAGAATCGATGGAAAAACATGTCTTATACAAATATCATGACGAGATGGGTCATGTCGGGGTTGACAAGATCGTAGAAACAATAAAGAAAAGTTACTGGTTCCCAAGCATTAGGAAAAAAGCAGTTGTTCACGTTGAAAACTGCTTGGAGTGTATAGCGTTCTCTACGAAACACGGGAAAAAAGAGTTACACCTTAATATGATGAAATAAGCCGTTTGAAATGGTACATGTCGACCACTATGGTCCCATTCACAGTAGTAGTACGAAATATAAACATATTCTAGTAGTAATAGATGGGTGTACGAAGTTTGTCCGGCTATATCCAGCAAAAACTACAGCATCAAGAGAAGCAATAGCATCATTGGAAGATTATTTTCGAGCGTACAGTAGGCCAAGATGTATAGTGTCTGATAGGGGAACTTGCTTCACGTCCAATGATTTCGAAAATTTCTTAGAGTCAAATAATGTGCAACACATAAAGATCGCAACACACTCTCCTCAGGCGAATGGACAAGCCGAAATTGTAAATAGGAGCCTAGGACCGATGATAGCAAAAATAGTTAACTCAGAAATTAATGTCAGTTGGCAAAATGTATTGGAAGAGGTAGAGTATGCAATGAATAACACAGCACATAAAGCGATTAACGAACATCCCAGCATAATGCTGTTTGGGGTTAGGCAAAAGGAGAAGGTATTAGATACGTTAAAAGAAAATGTATTAGAACCAATGCAGGAGCCTGACCCCAGATCCATTAGGGACATTAGGCAACAAGCCGAGATAGTGCAACAAAAAGTCCAAAAGTATAACAAGGAGTACGCAGATGCTAAACGGCTACATCCGCGTAAGTTTAAAATAGGAGATTATGTGGTTATAACAAATTCCAGTTCTCAAGTAGGATCTTCAAGTAAGTTAATACCGAAGTTTAGAGGGCCATACAAAGTAATGAAAATCTTAGAAAACGATCGCTACTTAGTAGAAGATGTTGAGGGCTTCCAACAAACACAGATACCGTATAAGGGCACCTGGTCAGTTACAAATTTAAAACCTTGGTTTCATTGTGAAACTAGAAGTATGAAAGGATGTAATAAATAGTGCTCTAAATATGTAAACGGCGTAGAATCAGGAGATTCTAGTCGTCAGGATGGCCGAGCTGTAAGCATAAGCATGTATGCATATTGACTAAGAAGTACGATGTGTAACTAGCCCTTAAGATATTTTGTAATTGTGTTTACACCTTAAGTTATGTGTCTAGACCTTAAGATTTGTTTGTTTTGTTAAGAGCGTGGGCAACCACCATTTTGACATCGAATAAAGAAATCAGAATTAGATTTGGGGTGTTCACAGTTCGTTCCAAATAGTGTCTCAAAATGTAGACGTCTACATTTTAAGACGTTTTCTAACCGTAAAATCTGTGGTGTTGTTGTTTCCCATACAAAATTGGAAAACGACGCCGTCTACATTTTGTCACACTCAAAGGTATGTTTTTTACGCGTCTACATTTTGCAACCTCGCAGCAGGGTTGCATTATGGCAATACTAATCGCATTTTTTTTATTTATTGGGCACGTTTTCTGTATTTGCATTTAATTTGAGCGCAATTTCTGATGAAAAGAAATAAATCAAGGAAAAGAAATAACAAATATTAGGAATTGGTAATTAAGTTAAATAATTACAATTTTTCAGAAACAAAATCGAAAGACGACATATAAAAAAGCACGCAAAGAAGAAATGTCTGGCAACACCAGCAAAGTTTTGAGACGATTTTGCGACGACTGCTAGAAAGGGGTGCTCACAGTTTGATGCTAAAGATGTCTCAAAATGTAGACGTCTACATTTTCAGACACAATTTGGAACGAACTGTGAACACCCCAATTGACTACCGACCACACTAGACGTGTGAAATTTATTGAAGGACCCAAAGTAAGCGTTTTCAATGGCATTTAAACAATAATCTGCAATTAAACTTAAGTGTTGTTTAAATATTCATTTGAAATTGGCCCTAAACTTGAACGTCTGCCCAAAATTGCTTATATTAATCCATGGTTTTCGACGTCGATGTAATTTTTTCGGCAAAAAATTGCACTCGCAAGTCCAACGCCAGTGAAAATTTGTTTCTCGCAAAACTACTGTGGTCAGCGAAACCGCAGTTGGACTGATGAAGGAAAAGAGCTAAGTTGGCAGCCTTTAGTGCAATTCCCATTTTTCCTAACGACCGATAATCGTTATTGATAATGGACGACGTTTGTAGTTTGCAGTAGCGAATAGGCTATTCTCAAAAACACACACAAGTTTTCGTTGCTAAAACTGGTTTTCAACCTAAAACTTGTGTTTTCGTCCATGTAAAATCTGTTAAACGAAAACAGTTTTCGCTGAAAACTACTTGAAAACTCACGTTCCACTCATTCCAATCGGTGTCTTCACTAGTTTTTTTCGATTATTTATCGAAGGGGAAGCCATATTTTATCATCCTTAATGCATCAGGTTCTTTCCCGTACGCAACGCGGGACACCCGCGGGTTCCCTAAACAGCCCAGAAATCATTCCCGTACTCAACAAAATGGGTAATTGAGAGAGAAAATTGGAACGTATTGGATCATAAGTGTCTTCTTCTTCCTGCCCGAAACATCACGGACTTTTTCTCCGGGTAAAAATGGATAAAGTGTCAAAGTGCATATCAGCTGTTTTGTGTTTACATGTTGCCTGCATTAACTTGGTGCTTTTAAGGAATAGTGAATGGCCTGTTGATGTATCTTCAATTTTTATATACTTAAAATCAACTGTGTGAAATAAAAATTCTATTTCCAAGTTTTTGCAGTGAAGGGACAAAAACAAAACCAACGTGAATCAGCTGTTTCTCAAATTCCTGGCACGAAATGTGTTTTTTAGCGTTCCCGTACTTCTGGATTATGTTCCACTTTTGAGAGCAAACTTTTCGCTTATTCTCTAATAACCGGATCAGGTTCGGATTGTTAGGGAAAGAACCTAGCATTTCGGATTTATTAGCTTTGCTCCACACGCTTTCCGGGGTTCTCCGGTCATTAGAGTGTAAAAATAAGTAACTCTCTCACATGCGTCAAAAATGTGTCAACACGTGCCAGAAGTGCCAGAGCGTGAGAAACGCAAAAAACCACATTTCGTGCCCGGAATCAACAAATCAACTCCAAGCAATGATTTGAAGTGTATTTATCTTATATGGCTAATAAAATTATCAAATAACTATATTTTCTGAAAGT